CACCCTTTACTGGCCGAGAACGGGAGGAAACAGACGGGGTGAGGGGGGGGGAGGGGGGGGGGGAGCAGGAAATTCCAGCCCTTTACGTCAGTGCTTCCCCAAAAATGATAAGCAGGAATTTGCGGAAGGGCACGGTTGATACCCTCTGGCCCTGCTTGGGGATGACGGGATTTCTATGGTCTCTTCGGACGCCCCGCTGCTGTGTCTTATTATAGGCATGCTGGTTCGGTTAAAGTGGGCACAACGGTGCATTCAACTCAGCAATTGTGCTGCGGGAGAGCTGGAACGAGCCACGTTGTCGCTGAAAGTACTTTAAAGCTCTCCAAAGGGAACCTTTTTAGACTCGAATGAATGCATTCAAGCACCGTGACCAAATTAGAGTTTTCTGCTTTTTAATGCATCCCTCTCCGCGGAGCGCAGATAAGACGCATTGGCATTCCCCTCATGTATGAGTCACGTCCAGCCTTCAACTCTGCTTTAATGCAATCCCCAAAGACACTTTTTTAAAAAATCCATAACTGTCTAGTTCTTCCCATCCCCGTTTTTTTGCTTTTTTAAAAATCTTCCTGCTAACTCATTCTCTGGGCAGGGTTCCTCAACCTCGGCCACTTTAAGACGGGTGGAGTTCAGCTCCCAGAATTCCCCAGCTAGCATGCTGGCTGGGGAATCCTGGGAGCTGAAGTCCACCCGTCTTAAAGTGGCCAAGGTTGAGAAACCCTGCTCTGGAGAAACAGGGTAGGGAGAGGACCCGGTCAGTTTCACTGGATTTGAGGAAGAAAAATCCAGTGAAACTGGCAAGGTCTCTTCCTCGACAAGCTGGAAGAGCAGAAACAGAGAAGGCCATTCCTTAAGTCCAGCTACCGATCACAAGGTAACCGTTGTAATCGGGCTCCGATGGGTGCAAACGGCATTTCGGGGACACCACGCTGATATTTCCCTCCTGGAGCACGTCAAAGGCTGAGACTAAATCACGATAGAGTTCACTGGTATAGCCTGAACCGTTCACGCTGATCGTGGTTGTCACGGGGGCTGCAGAGAAAGAAAAGGAGAAGGACGCGGTCATGTCATGTGGGGGTTTGGACAGATCATCTTCCTTGGCTCCCCTTTTTCAGGGACTTCAGAGGCCCTGGTGGGGAGGAGGATGCCCCGGGTGTGGGGCAGCCCTCGGCCAGGAGGGAGGCGAGGCAGGAAAGTCTAACTGGGCAAGGCCTCGGAAATGCAGAGGAAGCTTTAGGGGAGATGGATGCCCTGGGCAAAGCAACGTACGTCTGCCCCCCGCCCCTGGGAAGGGATGCAAAGAGGAGGGAAAGAGACGTTAGTCTTACTGGTTCCTAAATTTTATGCCAAGGTCTGTGTCAAACGAACAGAGCAATATCAATAGGAAAATGCTATCAGGGTACCTTCCCGCACTCCCTCCTTCCCTCTTTCCTTCTTTCTTTCTCTTTCTCCTTTTCCTTCCTTCCTTCTTCCTCCCTTCCTCTACCTCTTTCTTTCTTCTTGCTTTCCTCTCCTTCCTTCCTTCTCTTCCTTCCTTTTTTCTTTCTTTCATTCTTTCTTTCACTTTCACTTTCGCTTTCGCTTTCGCTTTTGTTGTCTCTTTCTCTTTTTCCTTCCTCCTTTCTTCCTCTTCCTCTTTCCCTTTCCCTTCCCTTCTGTACAACTACCTTACAAGGTAGAGTGGGCAGAGAAAAAGCCACTGACCTCAAACCCCTGAAGTGTGCACCCTGACAGATTCAAGAACGGGAAACTGCACTGTTCCTCCTCCTGCCCATCCACCTTACCTCTAGCAACGATTTCGCCCACCAGGTGGTAGCGCACCAAGTCGAAGAGCCAGTAGACCGAGAAGTCGGCGACAATGAGAAGAATGACCAGGATGAACTGGCGGCAGATGGAGATCAGAGACAGAGCATAGGCAATCTGTTCCCTGCGCGGTAACACGAGGGAGGCTGCGTAATAATGCACAAAATCGTTGTGGCTGTTGTGGTTTTCTTTCTCTGCAAAGGGACTTTCGGCCCTTGAGGATATGGAGAACGGGGATCCCTCGGCTTCCAAAGATTTTGCCCCACAAACACTTCTGACCCCAACCCCCACCTGCCACCCCACCGCTGGCGTACTTGGACGGATGTATCTGGTGCTTTCCTTCGGCGACAGGGGTAGCACGCTGGGCCTCTTGGTCTTCCTCCGGACGGCATCCATTTCGAGAAAGGGCTGGGTGATATAGATGTTGTCGAAACTGTCCTCGTGCAAGTAATGCTTTCGGTACAAGAGAGCCCTGGGGGAGCCAAGGGTTCCTTGTGGGGAAAAGAGGACCTCACCAGCAAGGCTGGGATCCCCCTCCCTTCCCTAGACGTGCAGCCCAGCCTCTGGGACCCATCGTCCCCAGCAGGACCCCCTCCTCGTGACTGCCCCTCCCCGTCTCACCCAATGTACATGTAGAGCAGGACCAGGGTGGACATGTAGCCGAAGAGCCCCACGGCTTCTCGTGCCGGTTGCAGACGCTCGGACACTTCCTCCATGATGTCGAAGGCTACCTGGGAGAGTTTCTTGCTGGCGTTGACGCTCACGTCGTACTGGTGGATGGTGGTGATGTTGAACTCGAACTCTGCCCGCACGCGATTGAGCAGGGCCACGATGGCTTGGAAGGGGGGAGACAGAGGATTCGGAAACCCCAAGAATTTCCCAGGGCTGAGAAATCATTTTTTTCCTTGCTTTCAAGGGCCCCCGTGCTCTCCCAGGTAGAACCATCTGGTGGGAGGGGCCTAAAGAGGGGGTGGGGCCATAACAGGGGTGGGGCCTAACAGGGGCGGGGCCACATGCAAAAGCACAGGGCCACCTCTGTGGTTGGGGAGACTTTTAGAAGTATTTGGTGGGCTGCTGCAAGAGGCAGAACATTTATTGTCTTTATTCGGACATCGGATTTATATTGATTTATCTCCCTTATCTCCTTCCTCCTTGGATCTCACCCTGTTTCTGCACTCGGTGCGCAACGAGAGGCTTCATGTAGCCTTTAGTACCCACCCTCCGCCCCATAAAGCCATGTTTTGCTCTCTAGTCCACCCATCAGATTCCTGAATCATTTTTATCCGAAACTGGTGGAAATCACTGCCGCATGATTATAGAGAGAAAGGGTTTTCAGCAGTGATGGCTAACTCTCTATGAAATACTGAGTTTTTGGGGGGGTGGGGGTTCTGTGTGGCCAACCCAGAGTTTCTAGGAATTGGGTGGCATATAAATTTAATAAATTAAGTGAAATGTCTTTGGAGGGGGAAGTACAAAGACATATTCTCGGCTGGGGATTCTGGGGACGTCCATCTTGTTTTCTTGCTAAAAATACAGAAGCCAATTGCTCTTCTCTCTGACTTTGTCAGAAAGTCAGACCCTCAGGTTTGGGATCTCCTTGTGGGCTCCCATCTATGCCCCAGCAATCCGAGTCACATTAGCTGAGATCAGCCAAACCCATCAACCGACTGCCAATTTTGACTTTGGGGAAGCTTTGTCTTAAATGCTGGATTAATAAGCTTGTTGGGAATGAAGGCTCAGGATGGGCCACACCTCCAGGGAGACCAAGATATGGGGACGGGAAAACCCAAACAGGTGGAAGGCAGAGGTCAGGTATCCTGGGAGGGGAATTCTGGCAGAATTTGGGAGCCAGGAAGGTGGCTAGATCAGAAGGGGATTTGAGATTAAAGGAGGAGGAGGGTTCTCTGGACTTACGTTCGGCAACCTTGCGACGCAAAAATGGCACGATGTACTGAGGAATGATGCAGAAAACCAGGAGGACTGTGGAAGGAGTGGGAGATGTCAGAGGACAACCCGGTTGATAAGGTGTGGTGAAGACAGATCCCCCAGGAACAATTAAAATTCCCTCTCCGACTAACAAGTTCCGGCAACCTGTTTTTCCTATCTACCCTTACATTTCTCATTGATATAGAACAGGATATTTCTCATTGATATTCAGCACGGGCGTTCAGTTGGAGCCATCGACCCCAATCGAGATGACGTTCCAAACTGATTCTGGAAAAGCCGTTTCCGAACCCCGTGCCAGATCGGCCACAGTATCTGAACTGATTTAGCGTCTCGGGGTACCCCCTTTCTGAATCCATTTCCCCATCGGGTTCGAGGAAGTTAATTGGGTTCAGAGCTTTGGGGGAATCGACTCTCCCCACTGAATCCTCACGCTTTCCCTCTGGTCCCGTACGGCGCAGGATCCGGGGAGCGAACTCACCGTTAGCCAACCCACAGAGATATTTGAAGAGAAGGACAACATGGCAGAGAAAGGAAAGGAAAGGAATGACCCGTTCACACTCGTCCTTGGCGTTGTCAAAAAGGCGGGCGCACTTCCGATACGGGGTACCCATCTCCTCGTTGCAAATATCGCCCAAGTGAAGAAGGAAGTACCAAACGTTGCGCAGGCAATGGGCTGCCAGATAGGAAACAGCAGATAACAGACATGGGGGAGAAACAGATACGTCTAAGGATCTCGTTCGGCGAGTTACAATCCCTGAGTTTATTTGTGTATTTCTTATTTTCCTCACACTGCATTGGCACTGTGTGTCTGTGTGCGTGTGTCTGTGTGTGTGCATGGGCTAGGCACAGGACCTAAGGCCCAGAAAATGTTTTAACGTTTTTTCCAACCAGAAAGAATTAAAAGGAAATAAAGTAATTTATGTTTAGGCCTTGCCTTCTGGCCTTCAACACAGACACAATCAATAGAATAGAAATACATCAAATACAGATCAAATACAAATCAACTGCCCACGTACGGGCAATTCGAATTAAAAGCTCGGTCATATATTCAATGCCACCGAGAAGATATTGAAAGTCATACGAAATATAATTTTTAATATTATATTTTTATGGAGGGAGGGCCTGTAAAGGCGAAAGGGTCCACAAAAAAAACCTGTATGGGTGTGGGTGTGGGTGTGTATGTGCAACAAGTATTGCAAAATTTTGTTGGGCATCACATTTGCACTGTTCAGAGCCTGTACCTTGCTACGTTTCAGGCCCACGTCCAAAACTAATTGCACCCATATTTCGCTTTTGACATCTCCCAAAATGATTCCTGCATGACTCATGCCAACTGGTTGCAGCATTTTATGTTCTTATTGCAAAAAATTGCATCTGATGTAGTGTTTTCTTTATTTTCTTTATTTTTTTTAATGTACACCAGCCCCAGATGTTTGGGCATCTAACTCGTTCAGGCCAATATAAATCAAGCTTCAATCCTCAAAAATCAAACAGCGCCACTGAAGGTCATAACTGGTAATGCCAGGTAATAAGGCATCATGTTGGCACAGCATTTATCTGAGAAGGTTAGGAATGTAATTACCTTGTGGGGAGCAAAGTCTCCCAACAGCCACCCCAGGTGTGGGCCGTGCTGGCTGGGGATGATGGAGATTATGGTCTCCCAGAGCCCAGTGGGAGGAATGCAGCTGTTCAGACAGGTTTTGGAAATCCCTTTACTTTTTCCTTCTTGCAAAAGTTCCAGCACTCACCAACATGCCGCACCGCATCCATGACAGACCGGAAAAGCTTTCGGACACGGTCCCCAACCACTTTGGCTTTCTTGGCAATATCCTTGATTTTCTTTAAGGCATCTAGGCAGAAGTGGGGAAGGGGGGCAGGTGCTGAACAAGCCTCCCTGGGACACCTTGTTGGGCAAAGCCAGAGCTGAACCCCAGATCATTCAGGAGACGCTTTCTGGATTTCTGCACATCCTGAACACGTTTTCTACAGTAGAGATCGTGGCTCCCAGCAATACTTAATAAGACTAGACTAAACTAGACTAGACTAGTCTATATTATATATTATATATGGCAATATATATTAATATGTATGATAATTATAGAATAGAATAGAACAAAGTAGATAACAAAAGATACACAATAATCTATATTATATATTATATATAGTGATATATATATTAATGTATAACATAAACGCAACAGAAATAATACCTCATCCAGATAAAGCTAAGGAAGGAAACCATGCTTATGTTAGTAATGTATTGTTATTATATTATATTATTCATTAGATTAGTTCTGCCGGACAGGCTGCCTCACTGATCAGGGGTTCCCGGGCTCGCTGCAGCATTTCCGCTGTCTGGTTGAGGGCCAGTTCAGCACCACACGAGACGGTGTCGGCGCTCCGGTTGAAATTCCGGATGATGTTGGCAAAGGGTCCTTCCATGGCCATTCCGAAGGCCAGGAGTATAAGAACCATCTTGCCCTCTTCTGTAGGAGGGGGAGAGAAAGAGGGAGACCGAAGCATAGGCAAAATGTTGCAGCAATTGAACCAGTTCTCTGGGTTCATCTCTGCCCCCTGCAACCTTAAAACCATTTGATGCCCCCTGAAACGGGCAACCTCAGTGGATGGGGAACCCCATTGGCTATGATTCAGCCCCCCAGGAGTCTTATTCTGGGTTCAGCAAACTTTCTGACAGCAAGACCTCGTTGTCATCTTTCCGCACCACGCACGTCATCCAAATCTTCTTGCTTTCTCGGCTGCGGTTTTGGGAGGCTGCAGTCAAGCGAGCCACCACGTCCAATTCTTATCGGATCGGAAAGGTAGCGTTCGGACCTCGCTCCCTTTCATTTTTTTCTTTTTGGGTCTATTTTTTTCAGGAGGAGCGTCTTGGGGCGCAAAGGGCACTTACTCGAAAAAAACTGAGGCAGCATCAGCAGGACGGTCACCCGGACTTTGCAGGAAAATGCCATGCCAAGGCCGAGGGCGAGGGCCAGGGTGATGGCGGAGAGCAGGCAATACCAAATACTGTAGCCTTGGCCAAAAATGACCAAGGCCCCATAGGCTCCCGAGAGGGTCATCCCCAGGGCGAAGCCCCCCATGCTACGGACCGTCGCCCGTCCCAGGCTGTCCTCTGCCACCTGCGGAAGCGGTTTCTTCTTCCTGCGCCGGCTCTTGCTTTTTTTCCGCCCCTTTCTCAGCCATCGGAGGGAGATCTTTGGCAAGAAGCCCATGGACCCTCAGCTGGGGCACAGATGCCCCGGGTGAGCTCCGGAAGCAAGCCAAGGGCACCCAGAGGGCACATAGGTGGGTGGGGAAAGGGTCCAGAAAACCCAGGCACAGCCTGGGCTCGAAAGCTGTGGGGAGAGAGTTTGGGAAGAGACTCTCTGCCACGATCTATATTTTCCAGCCCACCCCGCAAAACGGGGCTGTTATTGGGAGTCGGAAATGCCAGTTAGCTTCAGATTCTGCCAGCTTCCGCCCATCTTCTAGCCCCGCCCCTTAATCTGCCTATGTTTTGCATTGACTCCACCCACTAGTTGCTAGGTTTATTTTTCTCCAGGCCCCTAGCCCCACCCATATTTGTTCTGGCTCCTCCCCTCACCAGTGTCTTTCTTAGCTCTGCTTCTAGCCCCACCCACAGCCCTCCCTGGCTCCTCCCATCATTTGCTACTTTGCTACTGCACTCCAGTTAAGCTCCACCCCCTTTCTGCCCTGGCTTCTTCTACCCCTGGCTACCTTCAGGTGCCTGGGCCTCAAATCTAGATCTGCCCCCCTTTGACAGACACTCGTGGGCCCCATTGCCCCCCAGCGATCCCCAAAATCTGACACCGGCAGACTCAACATTGCAACCCTCACAAACGTAGCCCAAAGCGGTTGCCCCACCTGGAAAGGATCCATTGCTGCCCTGCCCACTTAATCAACTCAAACCCACCTTGCTGTGGCAGATTAATCAACTCTTTGCTCTGGTTGGGCTCACCCAGAACAGCTTAAATTGGGAGAAAGTGATGGGACTGAGAGGAGAGGAGGCTGGTCTCTGGGTGTTGCCCCCACAGCATTCATTCTTCCCGACTACACAGAACTGGGGTTTTGATGACCCAATTTTCTTGGAACCGGTGAGTCCCCATGAAATGGGGGGGGGTTGTCTTCCCCAATGGAAAGCTCCTCCATCAAACAAATAATCAACCCCCCGCATGCTGAAATGTAGCAGATCAGGTTAGACCGCTCCTTCCCTGACACACTAGCTTTCTCTCTGCGAGGAGTTGGGCAGATTTTGATGAAGCAGCACGTGGCGTGACCGCAGCTCCCCCCTCCCTCCCCATGTAGCGTAGAGCAGCCTCATAGAGACTGCCTTTATGACATCAGCCTTCTAAGAAAGACTATCCCAGGAGCGTCCCGTTTATCCGTTTTTCTAGAATTCAGCTCTTTTTTGGAGACGACCATTTCTGGCTCGGTCGTGGCTTTTCGTCGGCCCGGCCGGCCGGCGATCAACCCTGGAATTATGCAAGGAAAGTATCGGCGGCTTAAGGAGCAGAAAAGAAAACCCACAAAATCCCCCAACACGAGTGAGTCCTTTTGACACACCAAGAGAAAGCTCGGGGAAGGGGAGAAGAATGATGGTTCCACGGACCAGCTTTAAAACAAGCACGTACGTTTGGTTTGAAAACCAGCCTGCAAGGTGCTAGTCCTCAAGAGAACTCGGAGTAGCAGAGCCACCCTTGGGGGGCTTCTTGAGAGGGATCCGAAGGAAAAGAAATGCAGCGACTACAGACAGTGATAATTACCTATTGATAGCGACCCTTCCCAGCCCGATTATTGGATGTTATCTCTGCCCGAAAGCTTCAGCGCTCTTGAATTGGGCCTTTTAAAACTGAGAATACTCCTTTTCAGTGGTGTTCGGTCTGCTGTTTGTGCTTTTATGCAATATGGTTTGCAAGTGAATTGTTCGACCCCAGAAACAACAACGTAGAAAGAACATTATTAATACTGATATTATTTTATTACTCATATGAATTACTGTATTGTTAATATTAATAATAATACAGTCCATAATAAATAGATATATTCAGGCAAATGCATTGTTGCCTACACACCCCGCTCAAACAGGCATCTAATTTTCAGGGTAAAGAGAATCTGGATAAATTTTAAATAATACTGCCATTCGTTTGCGTGATGGTGACGCTCTTTCTCTCTGCATAGCCCTGAAGCACCTTCTTAGCACTTTCCTACCCAAATCCTTCATTTGCTTCCTGTGGAGTGAACCTGATGAATTTCGGCCTGCCAAGTTTTTTCTGGGAGCTGGACTTGGGATTTTATTTGCTTTGGGTAAGTTTTCTGGGACCCACCCAGGGCTGTCAGGGCAGGGGGGAAAGAAAATATGGAAAAGATCTGGATCGGCAGGTTGAAGCCTGTATAGAAAGGAGTTGAATCGATAGATCCACAAAGCATAGCGAGAATTCAGGGATCCAAATGGGAATGTCTTGGCTATAAAAAGGGAATCATTCCATTGCTGGAATTCTAATAACACCATTTCTTCCTTCTCAATAAATCTTGTTAAAGAGAACTCTGAGAATCTGGCTTGGAAAAGAATCTGTTTGAGGTTTGGGCCGCTGCGAAGAACCAGACACCTTCCCCCTTCCCCCAAGAGATCCCTCTTAAAATCTAGAATTCTTGCTCCCCAGGCCTCACCCAAATCCTGATTTTTCCCATGACCATCGCGGAAAGCACCAAAGTCGAACTTTTGGGTGGCATGACAGGTGAGAATTGGGTGTGGGGGAGGCATGACCCCAGGAGAGAGAGGAAATGGGCAGGGGGGGGGGAAGAGAAGGGAGGAAGAATCCAGTAGAGCACTGTGGGAAGTTAAAGGGGCCTCTGTGGCTTGCTTTCCTCTTCCCTCCTCACCCCTTTTTTCCTCTTGTGCCATTCCCGAGTTGGCATCCCACCGACGTACAGAGATGCACATTGAAAAAAAACAGCAAAGCACCCGTCACGTTCTAGCATGTTGCAGGTGGGCACGGGATGTTGCCAAACACGGCCATCTAAACACCAAAGATTGAGCCTCAGTGGCCAGAATGACAGCTAACGTGTCCTCATTTCTCCAGGCGTGGCTGCCATCGGATGGGGCACCTCTCCGCAATTCCGTTGCGCCAGCCTCTTGGTCATCCCCAAATTCTTGGGGAAAGAAGGACGGATTTACATTCTCACTTACGTGTTAGCCACTGTCTATGATGGTACCAAGATTCCATTATTATTATTATTATTATTATTATTATTATTAT